CCCAAATGAGTACGGTTTTACATTCATTTCATTTGCATGCACACTACTCAAGGTCACGCTTTCACCGGTTTGCTATTAACATCACCATAAGTGTTATCTCTTTATGCTGCTGTTGCAAACCTAGTCGTGAGTCTCAGCACGTATACTATTCGGCACTTTAGAAACACGGGTACAGGATAATAATACAAATTCTCTTGTCGCGACTGTTTTCTGCCCAAATAGTGCGCATGCCCAAGGTTTATAGCTTGTTATTGCAATATTTACACCACACGGCTCAATACTCTGGTCACTCTACTCTCTTAATGCATGACAAAGGGTCATTTCTTCGGGTGAGGTAGAGGGCACTAAGATGCCAACTGTCCAATAGGAGATGTTGGTCTATCTCGAAATGTCACACCTGCACTGGGTTGTAGAACGACCGTATGCATGCGTGTGGGTACATGTGTACTTCACATGTACCCAGTGTCGTCGCTCGTGAAAACGCTGGCGCTTGCGCGGATGGTTGAGTTGGAGTCAACCTACGGCACGTCAGAAGGCAAGTTCACCGCTCGATACATACACTATGGACGGTTGGCTGGAATGGACAGGTGTTCTCAAAGTGGAAACAGCAGTGCGTCATACCCCGGCCACTGCGGTAGAATGGTGGTGGCGCTTCGACAGGCGTAACTGGCCTGAGCAAGGAGTGTGCAATAGGTGCTTAGTGATTCCAGGTAGTGAGTGACACAAGGCTTATTTGCAACGCTCTTGTAGACTAAAAGTTACCTTCCAACGACCTACATTAGCAATATAGACATTCCTTACAATTAGGCATTGCAAATACGAAATGTGACGTTTTCAAAGCCATGCCGTCTAAAGCCTACTCGCTGCCGCATAGCCTATTCTCCCATCGCAGTATTGATCGCCGTTGCAGGAACCAAGTGTGGTTACGCTGCCCAATTTGTTTCAGGCGGGATCATGAGCGTTCCAACATATTCACTGATGTGATGCTATTCTCTGAGCAGGAAACTGAGAAGCTGCATTTCTAGGCAATATTTAATCCATCAGGATACTGAGAATCACGCATTGCAAAAGCGCGAAGCTCATTGACTTGAAAAAGTGAATGACAAATAGTGGGACCACAACGCAGGTACAGTGTGCACCATAAGCTCGTTATGTTCGTGATAAAATTTCTGACACTATGCTGCAGACGCACCTTTGGCTTAAACCTGGTGACCGGGCAGGCCAATCTTTTGGACCTCTGCGAACGATCCACCAGTAGCTGGATTTCATGGACGTGCACTGAATCACGTTTACGGATAAGACACTTTTCTGTCTGCTTGGCGCCGACAAGCGGCATGTTGGTGCTACCAATAACCCACGACAATGCATCGCTTCGCGTGTGCAACTTGATGCACAGCTGATGGCATGGGTTGGGTTGACAGGGGCAAATTATGGGAGCATTATTCTTTTCTAAGAATGTGAGGGGCAACTTGATTTTTGTTACAGAATTGATGCTTCACATTTGTCAGCATCCACGTGCAAAGCATTGTTACAGTCCAGGGTCATTCCACAGCTGCAGGCCGTAGACATATCGAGTACCGTTTGGTAGCAGTAAGATGGTGCGCCTGCCCATTCTGCAAAAACGATAGGTGATTACCTAAGCGAAACTTTTGGTAACCGCTGGATCGGTCGTGGAGGACCTATTGATTGGCCTGCACGGTCTCCGGATTTGAACCGACTAGATTCCTTCCTATGGGGGTACTTGAAATGCCGAGTGTATACAACCAGACCAACTTGCCTGGAGAAACTGCAACCGAACGTCGTCAACCAATGTCGCGGTATAACGGTGGACAGTTTGCAGAAAGTGCTAGCAAATAGCCTCTGGCGGGTACTACTGTGCAACCAAAACGATGGCGGATATTTTGAACATCTACTTCATTGACTTTTATGACGGGTAAGTTGATTTATCAACAGAACTGAGGCTTCACATTTGTGATCATCCTCTTACAAAGAAATCTCACAGACCTTTGTCATTCCGCAGCTGCAGGTCGAAGGAGCTGCAACTGAGCATCGTCAACAAATGTCGCTGTATATCGGTGGACACTTTACAGAAAATACTTCTCTGCAAGCAAAACAATGATTGTCATTTTGAACATGTATCTCGTTGATTTTTAGGCTCTTGAAACATACTTCATATATATATATATGTATAATGATTGATTTCACTGGCATATTGTGGCGATGGTTAATGGTGCGCATATTTGGTTGGGGTTAAATGAACGCGGGGAGAAGGTAGCTTAAGATGGGTACGTGAGAAACGCCAGGTCGCTCAATTGCCCGACAGGGTGCAGGACTCACTGCGGATGTTTACTGTGAAGTTAACGGCGGTGGACGAAACCATTGAAACTCAGCAGGTTGTGTTATGCGCTTGTTGAGAGCCAGCGTCCTTCCTTTGCCCATATAACTTTTACCTCGTGTTTGTCAAGTAACTCAAGTATGATTACCGTTGTTCCTCTTACAATCATGATTCTCCAGTGGTAAGGGAACTGTCACGGACAAATTACCTAGGAGTTACAAGGTAGAGATGTTTTCACCACCAATTATCGTTGGATACCACGGCACTTCGCTTCAGCCTTTAATGATTCAATATGGCGTACCTGCCCATTATGCACAAACGTTGCGGCATTATCTTAAGGAGGTGTTTGGTCACCTGTGGATCGGTCGCAGAGGTCCAAAGAATCGCCCTGCCCGGACACCAGATTTGAGCCGAAGGTGCGTCTGCAGCATAATGTGTCAGAAAAGTTTTCACAAGGATAACGGGCTTGTAGTGCACAGTTTGCGTGAGAACTCACATGCGTGTGCCGTGGTCCCACTATTTGTCATTCACTTTTTCAAGTCAATGAGCTTCGCGCTTTTGCAATGCGTGATTCTCAGTATCCTGATGGATTAAATATTGCCTAGAAATGCAGCTTCTCAGTTTCCTGCTCAGAGAATAGCATCACATCAGTGAATATGTTGGAACGCTCATGATCCCGCCTGAAACAAATTGGGCAGCGTAACCACACTTGGTTCCTGCAACGGCGATCAATACTGCGATGGGAGAATAGGCTATGCGGCAGCGAGTAGGCTTTAGACGGCATGGCTTTGAAAACGTCACATTTCGTATTTGCAATGCCTAATTGTAAGGAATGTCTATATTGCTAATGTAGGTCGTTGGAAGGTAACTTTTAGTCTACAAGAGCGTTGCAAATAAGCCTTGTGTCACTCACTACCTGGAATCACTAAGCACCTATTGCACACTCCTTGCTCAGGTCAGTTACGCCTGTCGAAGCGCCACCACCATTCTACCGCAGTGGCCGGGGTATGACGCACTGCTGTTTCCACTTTGAGAACACCTGTCCATTCCAGCCAACCGTCCATAGTGTATGTATCGAGCGGTGAACTTGCCTTCTGACGTGCCGTAGGTTGACTCCAACTCAACCATCCGCGCAAGCGCCAGCGTTTTCACGAGCGACGACACTGGGTACATGTGAAGTACACATGTACCCACACGCATGCATACGGTCGTTCTACAACCCAGTGCAGGTGTGACATTTCGAGATAGACCAACATCTCCTATTGGACAGTTGGCATCTTAGTGCCCTCTACCTCACCCGAAGAAATGACCCTTTGTCATGCATTAAGAGAGTAGAGTGACCAGAGTATTGTGACATGCGGGATAGAAAACGTACGAGGTAACTGAATTTAGCTTGTTCCGTCGTTACAAGCAACATGAATTGGATAGCGTTGCACACTGGCTAGTTCCCATCGCGGTGAACGAGGTAGTTTGGTCCGATCAGCCCGACAAGGTTCTAGCCTGATGGAACGCGAGAGTATGAAAAGTGACGGTATTGTGGTAGCTAACATGTCGTTCGAGCCAAATATCAGACGAGTCGGGTTGAGCGCGACGGGGAAATTGCTCACCACAAACCGGAGAGAAAAAAGGCTCAAGTGGAGAGTTTCGGAGCTGCATTCTCTCAACACTGCACTCCACGACCGACTGATTTCGTCCTGATTTGGACTCATCAGGTAGAGAAATAGATTAAAATGAGATGGGGGCCCGAGCCCATGCTCGAAGTCAACAATAGATTATTTTGGTGATTCAAGGACATTCTCCCGGTGTCGATGAGAAAACAAAGTAATTATCTACATTTCTGGAGGTGAGGTGTATTCTTTGAGACGGTGCAGTCACTTCAAAGTACAGAAGCAGTATAGAAAAGGTCGGACGGACTCCCTAAAGATAAATTATGCGCGCTGGCTAGAAGTGGAAGCTAAAAAGAGGGAGTATGCCTTCGTACCTTAAACCTCGTAAGGACTGGTGGACAATTAGAATTAAAAGCAGCGAAGAGGTCTGACCGGTCGATCGTTTACTTGGACGAATACGACAAACGGTTTTTCTGCTGTAAGGGTGCGATGAAAAACGGTTGTGTTAATCCAATTCTGGTGCAATTCATCAGTAATGCAGTTTGCAGCCTTAGATTGTTCCTAGACGAGTGATTTCCGCTTGGAAAGACACACTTTCTGAAAATGACCCATTTTTCCACAAAATCCGCATAATGAATGAATGTGTGGACAGTCAGTCGGGGGCAAGTGATTCTCCCCGCAACGGTAACAGCGGAATAACTTGCGCTGTACGGGGCGAGGTAAGGCATGTCCAAGGTTAGTCTGGTAGACCTTGTTTGCGTCATGTGAGATTGATTGATTTGAAGAGGGAAATGTGGCTAGTTCGTGGACGAGGTTGTCACGCTGTCGGACTATATCACAGGTTTTCTCCCACGTCAGTAGCGTTTCATCTTCGGAGAGCAGACGTTCTCGTGCCTTCTCATCGAAAACACCCACGATTAAGGGTTCCGGACACGGTCTGTGCCGTCGATTCTTCTCCAACACAAAGTCAGTGGTTGCAAAAGGACGATACAGTCGCTAAATAGTCCGTTTACATAGAGCCCGTTGTTACACTCAACCGAAATCAGAACAGCAGTATTGCAAATGGAAGTTTAGTAGAAGCAATGGCAATAGTACATCGGCAGTCCACATTGGGTACAGATCAACTGTTTAGTTTTACGCAGTCCACATGTTTTAGCTAAGCATTCGCTTTTGAACCAATCAATAAACATCGCTGTTTAGTCGGGAGATGGACACTCACACACTAGCGCGCACAATGCAGCTCCACAGGCTAGGTAGTGTAGCATGACCTTGACGCTCTCAACGTCTGTATCAGATGCACAGAGTACATAAGGCTAAGCAATGAAGAATTAGACTATTGTTGATGCCACCAGCACGTAACTGAAGGACTAACAAAGCGGAACTTGATGGAAAGAAATTTGAGGGACGTTTGAGCGCGACAACTACCTGAGCAGTTCGGTCCATTGGGGAGGTGGTGACCTCCGGTAACCATCCACGCATGACCTAGATTATCGTCGAAGGCTGATGCATGCGAAGAGCAGCCAGACATAGTCTCTCCACTGTCCATTCACAAAGCATACTGAGCAAGGACTGTGTGGGGTCAAAAGGGGTATATCACAACAGTTCCGGCTCATTTGTCGGGTGAAAGGATCTGGAACATATAGTCAACCAGTGTCACGCGCCGAAAAGACAGTGGAAACTAGGTTGCAACATCCATAAAATGTAAGTGCCAGCCCTGAACACAAATACCACAAGAAAATAGCCGAAGAAATTTCACGAGCGTTAGAATGTGGCAATGTGCTAATTCAGAAGGCGACTAACGCAACCTGGACAGTTTGCAGTTGCCGTAGCGTCAGATATGACTTGTAACTTAGTCTTTCGATGTATGGCAAGAAAACAAATTCCAAACGTTAAACAGCATCAATGTAATCACGAGAGATGACTGTGATGAAAGCATTTGATACGCCGGTGAAATACAATCCGGAACATGAATAGTTCATAATCCTCAGTGCAGATATTTGAATCAAGTAATCAACACTCTCGTAAAGGAAATAGTCGGAAGAGGATGTTCAATGCATCAGGCGTCAGTCACACACAGCTGAAAAGCACTGAGATGGGCTAGTAGATCAGACATTGGAAGTAGGAGGGTAGACACATTCGAAATAGCAATGGGAGCGGAAAGCACGGGGACGGCGCTATAAACACGAGTGAAATATGCCGCCATGGATTTACAATGAATGGTATCCAGAGGATCCTAAAAGTAAAAAAGAACACGGATGGAGTCTCACAATATGCAGCTTAACCGGTGCTGGGTGCCGATAAAAGAGTAGACACGAACGCATTGATAGGTAACCGGCAGCGAATCACATTTCGACGCTAATATGCAATAAGTAAGAGGATCGACAGCGTATAGAGACACAAAGAGATCAGATAGCGAAACAGTGGGTACGATTAATGTTATTTGTCTGAAATATACTAACCGGTGGTGGCACAAGCGAAGGAGGAGAGGGAAGGTAGAAAAATGTGTGAGGCATTATGCGTTGGTCAAGGAACGAATAAAAAAAATAACCAAGACCTGTCAGAATGAAAGTACATTTGGAAATATGAGGCGATCAGGTGAACAACATCGCCACTAAAAGTTAAATCAGGTGATCAAGTAAAGAACAAAGTAAAGAATACAAAAAAAACGATGACTGAGCAAATACAACCATAGGTGGACGTCGCGGAAGGGGTGCATGTATAAAGGAGCTGGAGATCGGGTCACTCTCTGAAAGGAGGGAGGACTAGTGACTTCTCTCTGGCGAAGATAGTGCAATGCGGTTCCAAGGCAGGATGTGCAGAAGAGTTTGTGGAATGGTCGGATGAAGAAAGGCACATGGACGAGAGGAGATCAGTTGGGTCTCGGCGGGATCCGAGGAGCATTGAACGCATTGTTGGGCCGCCTGAAAGTAATCACAATCGGAGAAGTGGCAGTGAAATGTAAAATGAGAGGTGGACGCAAATTTGAAAAGGAAGTAAAAAGTTCAGAGAGATTAGAAAACAATGGTTTGATGTGTTTGTTGGGGAACGTTTTGACACGAAATCTTCGACAAGCCATGTGAATCAATTCGTAATTGGAGCGGTAGTTTATAACGAGCAGGGAAGATAACCGTGATAACCTAAACAGGAGCCAAGGTGCGGGATGTCACCTAAAATGGTTCAGCCACAGTAGGGATACTGCAGATATTTCTTTGTGCGTCATCGATTTGACAGATAGGCTTTTGTGTCAAAAATAAAACGTCGCCTAACAGATACATCAGCAGATAGTTGCTAAATCTCTCTGAACTCATGACTTCATGATTGGTTTCAAGTATCTTCCAAGAAGAGGTAAAATGGTCTAGCTCCTCAAGAGCCAACATGCATAAGTAGAGAAGTAAGAAGCGGTAAAATTTTATTTATCCGAGATAATTAAGCGGGAAAAAATATTCTAAAGTAACGGAACCAATAATATACTTTAGAGATGAGGAAGAGTAGAGGCAAGAACCCCGTGTTTAGTGCAAATCAGTCATATCAAAAGGTGATGCAAAGTCACAGTATCGCCAAAACCAGATTCTACATTTTGTTACAGGTTGATTTTACGAATCAGAAAAACCGCAAATGTTACCCGAAACAGAATGAATTGGAAATTTAAAAAAGTTGGAGAGATAATTTGTGAGCGCAAATATGGAATTCAGGCACGAAAGAGTGGTGGGATGAAGCAGTCGACACACCAGTAGTCACCAACAACACCGCAGGAATTGAGGGTAAGGGCATGACAATGGAGAACTTACTCCGGACCAGCGTGTAGATCGTTCCCGAGTGTGGTTAATTTTGGCGGTGGGACGGGTGGTTGTGGTGTCTGTTGATTCAGTAGCGGATCGAAAGCACGCCAGACTGTGGACGCAGTTGAGGATGAGTGCGAATCGCTGATGTGGCCACCGCTTCCACCAACGCCACCACCACCAGCAGATGGATGAGCCGCCGGACCATACACATTGAGGTTACCGGTACTAGCGCTCTGAGGGACATGGGAACCGTTAGCCATCTGAGTGAAACGGCTGCACCATCGGAATCAGTCGAGCAAGATGAAATAAGATATAGGTAAGGAAAGCAGTTGGTTAGCACTATTTAAGTGGAAAAATTAAAAGTTATACGCGGAACACTGATGGATGAAAGTTAAACTGTGAAAGGATCGGATTCTACTTGGAAAATGTGCGCACAGTGTTTTCGGGCGTTTCCCGAGAGCCAGAATTCCAACATGTAGCCGCAACATGGACTACGACGAACGTATACCGGATCCGTGAGGTGGTGCTCAAAGTGAAAATATTTCTAGTGCAGAATACAGCACGGGTGATCTAGGTGCAACTGCCTTAGTCGGCAACAATGACGCTCCTGAGATCAGACCCAATTCCGAGTACCACTGAGTGGAGTCAAAACCGAGGGAAACAGGTCGTTTGCAAGAGTGCTTAGAGCGGCCTACCTTGAACGTTCACCTACTTTCAAGATTGCGCGCTCAATAGCTGGCTCACTGATACTGACAGGCGCATCCGAAGAGAGCGTCGGCAACATGTCTATTAAGCCTGGTAAAAGATACTCGGTGTGAAGATTAAGGTCTCTCGACTTTAACTCCCTTGTGTATTATGCATTACAAGATTGGAACTGGTGATTGGGAAACCATCGCAATGACGCTGGACCGTACCGTGGTGCGATGGTTTGCGTGCTTCATTGATCCATTGAGCTATGCTGGGTGGTGCATTTTGCACCTTCAGAGCCACTCATACCAGATTGGTTAATGGCTAGAGGCCAGACAAACCCATTCTCCTGGTCCTCCAGATTGGGGGTTGAAATGTGAGTGGCTCCTTATTATTTAAAACGGACTATTTGTAGTACAGTATTAAAAATACTGCCTTGCAGTCAGGTTTTTGAACCGAAGGTTTTGGCTGTGAACCCTAATCGTTCTCCTGACTAGGCTTGGGTAACCTGACAGTACCCTACCCACGCAATACTGTGAATCTTTCCTCAAACAATTTCCTGATGCTCTGGCTGTCGCAGATGATAATCAACGGTGCCCTGTCTGCTGCATCGAGCAAGGCGGATAGGGGTTTGGATGCTACTGCGCAAGCCTTCCCGTCTTACGCTTTTTCAGCCTAATCGTCCCATTCTAAATTCAATTTTATCCCCTGGTTTTCAACTTCCCAATTCTTGGCCCTCCCCACCATGCTTTGATAAGTGTTTCTTTTCTAGTGTCAACTCACATGCAAACGTGGAGCGTCACTTTTGCCCTGTCGACAAGCCTATGGCAAATCAAGCGGTCAAACCCAGTTTATGGACTTCTGTTTGGAGCCCCCGATATTCCCTCAGATTGGCATACTTCAACGTACGCATATTGTTACAGGTCAGGCAACAAGCAGCACTTGTCCGAACATTAGAGACCCTCTCCGTCGATATCTGCTGCTTATTGAAAACCCACTTGCAAGACTCGAGCTATGTGCTCCCTTTGGGATACCCTTCAGGCGACACCGGCAGTGCTTTATCATTGCGTCCATCCGGAGACAATGCAGCTCCGAGCATCGGCCAAGCCGATGCTCGTCCGATGCCAGTCCGCGGGCTGAGGCCGATCTAGTTGATTAGATCCCAATCGGTAGCCGGATGTGTGCGGTGCGAGTGGATGGCTCGTTCAAATATTCGAAGTAGCGCGGGGTTAATTAATGTCGGTTTGTCATCGCTGCCTACGCACCCACAAACTGTAGAGATGGTTCGTTAAAAGACGGCTTCTATCGTCAACTGAACGAGCTCCTTCGCCACAAAAGAAGTATGCACACTGCAGTGCTGGCTGGGGATCTGAACGCTCAAGTTGGAAAATTGTCCATTGATGAGCAGCATCTAGACGGCCAACATGCTGTAGGCCCCCTATAATGGGCGCTGTAAATGCTAGTGATTGGGAACGCTGAGTCGCCGATCGAACGTCACGGGCCAGGCCGGTAAAGAGCGAGCATGTTGCCGGAAGCAGATTGGTCAGCCAATCCGGAAATAGTCAGTCCGTACTCGCGTTCACCTTGCAAATATCCAATGAACGTGCAAGTGATCAATCGGGCGCCAGCAGGCGAAGGAGCACATACTCGTGCACCCTTGAGCCAAGGCTTGTGGCATTGGACCGAGAGAAGAAGCGCGCGGGTTCAATCCCGCCAATCATACATCCAGTAAGTAAGTCAAGGTGATTTTAGACAGTGAACGTGGCAAGCAAGCATAAAACAATGGAAAGGGCGCCAGCGACATACTGCAAATAACAGGGTTGAACCATTGAGACTGACTGTTGTAAGTAGTGTATATACTCTATAAATATTCAAGCGTAATCTTAATAAATGACTTCGTGATCGCGGCCCAGTCTTCTTGCTTCCCGGAGGACTACACGACGGCCCCGGTATTGATATCGGTGAGCAGTTACTTCATTTGTGTGATGCTCGCTTATTTCTTGCGAGCACTAAGTTCGGACATAGCACCCACCGGAAAGTGACATGGCGCCCAACAGCCTTGGACGCAAGTGGATCACATTGTGATCGGTTACCACTGAAGAGGCTGCTTCCAAAATTGTTGCACGATTTGTAGCACATATGTGAACACTGACCATACACTTGTATTTGATCTGTGGGTGCTTTTGGCGGACGACTCTGTGGGCGTATTGACATCAGGCAACTGGTGGTGCCTGGTGTTCTGAATGCGTATCGGAGTGCGTTAACATCCGAGCTGAGTAAGCGTTCACTGAAAACACTTGACGGTCATTGGCTGCATGTTCGCCAGATCTTACTAGCTACAGTCAAATCCTCACGTGTTAAGTCTAATCGCCAACATGGACATAGGGCCTCTTCATGGTTCCTGGGACTTATCGATGTTCGTCGGCACATTCCGGTTGGAAGCGAACACAATGAGACCCGTAAAGAAGTAAGGGCAAAACTTCGTACAAACCTGAAGAGAGACAGCGAATCCTGATGGTCTCATCATTCGTCAGATGACAGTGGCTGCTGCTCTTGGTAACCATTGGATATTAATCCGTTTGGTACGCGAAACGGGCAGCAAGAGACCTGGTGTTAGTGAAAGAATTTATGACGCGAGTGGACAGGGTATCCACGATTTGTCAAAACGCCTGGAGCTTTGTGCCGAAGAATTTGAAAGGCAATTTAACCTGATGGAATAGTCGGATTTCCCGTCAGCCGCTGATCGCCATGCTCCCTGGGCTGTCCGTTTGGATCCGCCCTATCGCTCAGAAGTCGAACGCGAGATCATACTGTTGAAGTTGAATAAAGCCGCCGAACCAGATAAACGTTCAACCTACTTGTGTTCGAGGGATCTGCACTTCCAGACGCTTAACGCGAATTACTAGTGAATCTGTCGGAGCAGGAAACGTTCCTAACCGACTAGAGCTGCTCCGTTGCTGTCCCGATCTTCAAGGGAGCCTCCCGTTCTGAAAGCGCAACCATAGAGGAACAATGGATTTATGCGGGTATAAAAGCTAAAGCTTGACAAATCCCGTAGGGTGATCAGCGCGAAAATCATAGAAGTGTGAAAAATTCAATGGAAACCAATTCAGTAAAATCGTTTAACAACGAGTCACTACAAGCTTGTGGACTCACCGGGTTTGAAGCGTCAAAATATAAATCCACTGTTGAAATTTGCGTGGGAGAATTTTTTAATGCATGGATTTTGGATCTCTCAAAATTAGACCGTACTATGGGAGATAGTGCAATGAAGTGAGTGCACTATCAACTCGATTTTTGAACTCGATCAGGTTTGGTGCACTGACTACAGATTCTGGGAGAGCATTCCAGGCTTGGCAAACACGCACGGAAAAGAAATTCCGTCGACATTCCAAACGGCTGTACTGCACCGCCAGCTTCAGATGATGGCCTCTCAGGTTGTTGTTGTTACTGAGCTCCAGCAGATGACGGCAGGTATGATTGGGGTCTGTCAGAATCTGATAAGCCAAAATCAAATCTCCCCGTAGTCTCCGATATTGACCACTAAATATCCCGAGCGATCTCAGTCTGTCTTCGTAGCGTAACTGGCCTAAACCTTTCACGTTCTTCGTTGCGCGTCGTTGAGGTTTCTCTAAATCAGAGAGGTCTTTCCTCAGCCACGGCTGCCAGACTTGTATTGCATACTCCACGTGTGGTCGTATGTATGCACCTAGAAGTTGGTGAAAAATGGATGGATCGAAGCGTCCAAATGTGCGCCTGAGAAGGCCCAAATTTCGAATGCTCGCGTTCGATGCTTTCTTTGCCTGGGCTGAACAACCAAGGTCGAACTGAATCAAGACTCCTAAATCCTTTTCCTCAGCAGTTGTGTGAAGCACATGGTCACCCAGTTTATAGAAAAATGCTGATTGGTGACGTAAGTGTAATACTCTGCATTTTTCTGTGTTGAATGGGAGTTGGTCCTGAACTGACCACGCATACACCTTATCCAGATCCTCTTGAAGTATTGCGGAGTCGTCTGGTGTATTGATCGCTCTCCAGACCTTGATGTCGTCGGCATAGAGTAGGCAGTTGGAAAGAATGAGGGCCGCTATGTCGTCAATATACATCAAAAACAATCGTGGCCCCAGTACCGATCCTTGTGGTACACCACATTCGACTTAGATTGGGTGTGACAGGGACCCACGCACTTTTACCTCTAAGCTCCGGTGGAGAAGAAAGCTTGTGATCCATCCTAGGAGCGGATCACCAATGCCGAAGCTCTGAAGTTTGCAGATCAGGATTCCATGGTCTAGTCGATCGAAGGCCTTTGAGAAATCTAGGTAGACCACGTCCACTCCTGCACCGCTGTCAATTAATTTGGTCCAACTCGATCTTGCTAGCAGCAGATTTGTGGTGCATGATCGATTCCGTCGAAAATCATGCTGTTCATGTGCAAGGAAGGCAGACTCTTCTAGATAGGCTGTTAATACGTCAGCAACAATAGCTTCCATAACCTTCGACAGGACCGGGAGAAGGGTTACAGGACTGTAGTTGGCTGGGTCAGAACGGCTACCGCCCTTGTGAATTGGGGTTATGATCCCACATTT